ATATAGTAATTTATGTATTTTTGTATTTTCTAACTGTATATATATATATATATATATAAAACTTTTAAAAACATTTTGTTTCACATCCTCCATTTTAAAAGGCTTAGCAAGCTACGTCAAACAGCAACCGAGTACAAAGGTTGTAACTAGAAGAGATAATTGTTTGCTTTACATCTTTATTTACTGTTATGTTTTAAGAAAAATAAGTTTAAGAATTTATTTCTAAATAGCAATAATCTATACACATATATAATGTATAATAATTGAAATGTGACTGTATTTTACAAAATACTAGGTCTACTGAAACAAAGCCTAGACAGGTCACTTTGTAAAGACTAAATGTCAGTTTTATATTATTGGATATGGTAACATGAGTGCATGTGTGCCGCATCATTGTAAATTCTGTGTTGTTAGTCAGACATGACTGAAAGGGCAATATAATATAAATGATAATAATAAAACCACCAATTTTCCAGCACCCTTGATTCCAAAATGATGCCGGATCAACAGAGGTCATGGAATAATAATAATCCAACAATACACCTCTGATCCACTAACTATACCCTCTAAAGCACCATGCACTGCTAGAAATGGAAACACCATGGTTGAGTTGTTTCAACACATCTACCATATCTTGTATCGATATGGATTTGTGCTTACACTTGACACCACGACTGTCAGTTGGACCTTGCTTAGAAGCCATAGCTAGGGTTAAATGTAAGCAAAATAAGCTCGGAATCGCACAAAACCGAGGGATCACCAACTGCAGATGTAAACAATTAACTCTTTCGGGATGGAGGCACATGATGCCATCTTTAGATTCTGTCTGTTGACATAAATAAAAAATTTAATTAAATAACTTTCTTAAAAATATTTTTTCAGAAAAGTGTTATTTTCTAGTACATTATACTTTAAATTTACTTACGCTATTATCAACATTATGTGTTGTAAAGAAATTGAAGAAAAAATCAAAATTAAATATTTGTATCTTGTTAAACCATATTCTTGGCAACATTCATGAAAAAAATTCAAGCAATTTGATCCATTAATATCATATTTATAAGAATTTTCACGAGAGTGACATACCTACTTAAAATGTAAGTAGCCCATCCCAAAAGAGCGTGCGCCACACGCAATGCCATCAGTGGCCACCCAGTGAACTGGTCTGGTGGTTGCAAGAATTTCAAATGCACTCCTGGATTAAAGGAGGTGCCAGACCATCAGTTGCCGGAAAATCGGTGGTGTAATGTATTTATAAATGTATAATGTTGAGATTTTTGTGTTGTAATTTGTTGTCATTCTAGAACAAAAAATGCATAATTTATTTTTATTTCCTAATTTTTTAAACATGGTTATGAGATTGGTCAAATCAACCAAACCTGTACAGAGATTTGTTACTGAAAATAAAAGATGAAAAATAGTTTTTTTTCTTAAGAAATATTTGATAACTATCTGGACATAATGCCAAGACATTTTGCATTTTCTGATGCAGAAAAGTATTTTTAATCATAAAATGAAAATTACTTTGCATGTTGGATAGGCAACATGGGAAAAGAAATAAAGGGTATGAGAAAAACATTGCTTTACAAACTTTAAGACTTGATAAAAAATTTGATATTTTGTGTATGAAAGCATTCTAATTTGTACTGATAATTGCTCAATTTTATTAACGTACGCTTACTAATTTATAAGTTATAGTATGAAAAGTATAACAAGCACAGAATGGTGGGAAGGTCCGTTCCATGGACTGAGGGTGTGCTGAAAAGAGTTAATGTATTCATATATATAGTATGTATAGTTTCATGGTTATATGGTTGGTTACAAGGTCAATTAAACTAACTCTGCCAGTATGCATAGAGTTAAGTTTAAAATAATTTTTGAGGATTGATGACAAACTTTGAAAATTAAAACCTATGATTTTGGTATAAAACAAGATAGCATAGATAACATTTTGTAATGTCAGTGCTGAGCTGAAAAGTTTAAAAGATTCTGAACGTAAGGACTTGAAATAATCTCTGAATGAGTTTGTGTATAATATTTTAAAGATAAATAATTGTTTAAACCTGTGAAAACAAAATCAATGCTGAAGCTGAAAGGATTTTTTTTATAGTGTGAGTTTACTTCATGCTTTTGTATTATTTTATAGTTGTCATATTTTATTTAAAACTATATATGTGTGTGTGTGTAATTTTGTAATTCTCAAATTTTCAAAATAAACAGCTTCAATGATATTTGAACATAAATTTTAGATGTGCTTAATGGTTTTATATTTGTTATAGTTCCAATGTATTTAGATTTTATAGCTGCAATAATACTGAATTTGAAAAATGTTTTGTTGATATTCTCCAGGCTGCTGATTGTGCTGGAAAAATCTTCATCTTCCATACCACATTGCCAATAGCTGATGCTCCTGGAAAGCTAAAAAATAGAGATGATAGGAAGCTTCTTGGAACAGACAAAGAGAAAGTAAGGAATTGATAAAATACAAGTGATTCTAAAAATGTGTAGTTGTCTAAAAAGAATTTAGACTTTGTCTAAAATTTGTTACATATTAGAATTTCGAATGGTCTTAAATTGAGTTAACTGATAATTTAAGTTTAGTAGTTAAATTGTACTTTGGATTTAATATTTAAATAAATGCTGATACATAGTCAGTTTGTAATATTTGCCAACAAGATTTGAATATACAATACGTTTGAATATACACACCACAGTACAATTTAAAATAACAGTTATTACCAATAGTTATTACAAACAATTTATAAACAAAAGTTTCACAAACTTACAAACAGTATAAACTCTTCTTTCTAGTCTGGTACTTCCTTGATATCTCATTGAGGGTTCACGATGTGTGAGTTAATTATGAGTTGATGTAGTTATGATTTGCTTAACGGGAAGCTAGCTTTGTCCTTCACTGATCACACACCGATTTTTCCTACCGGTGACGTTAGGTGATGTTTTCGTAAAAATACTAATGTACGATGAGAATCCTCTGAAGTTAAATGAGTTGTAATGTTCGAACTTTGTAAAGGTTTCTGGTCAATTATCTGAAGTGTTCTGATTGGTAAGCATTATAACAATCACAGTTATAGCTTCCAAAGTTTTATAGCGTGGCGTGTTGGTTATATTTATAGCCGTATGGAGAGGCTTTCTAGAAATTGCAGTTTTACTTAACAATACAAATTTAAGCGTTTACATATATATTGTTGATTCTTACTCTCGAGAATCTTCTACGATTTTGGAGAATAGGCGGGAGTTTCGCAATACATATCTAACACTACAAGCTATGCATGTTTTTAAATATAAACTTAGTCTAAACAATGTCAATATTAAAATAAATATATAATAACAAATTCGTTACAAATTGCACTTATTACAGCTGGTATTCAGGAACTGAAGTAATATTTAGAGAAATCTGATGATATTAGTAAATACCCAGCGTAATCATTTTTATTTGCAGTAAATGTCAGGTTTGTTTTTTACACAAGTAATGATTTCAAGAGGTTGAAATGCATGCTCATTAAGAGTCCACAAAACATGAAACAAAACCCAAATTGATATAAAAGACAATAAACAATAAAAAAGCAATTTTTATTTACAAAAAAGGTAAACATGAAAACTGACATGTTATCTTATTAATAGAATAATTAGTTTTTATAATTAAACATGTTGCATACCAGTAATATTAGCACCCTTACCTTAGAGTACATTAATTTCTTTAAAATTACAATATTTGAATATTATGGTTGCAATTAACATAGAGCAATTAAGTAGCTACTAAGAGTTAAGTGTTTTTGTTTGTTTTCAAAAGTTTTCAGTATAAAGTGTGACCTTGCCTGGGATGAGAGGTTACTCTCTTACATTGCTGGAAAAACTAGGTCAACTTATATACGAGATATGGATCGACTATTACACAAAGTATATATGGTGTATATGTGTTTGTTTGTCCTTAATGACATCTTTATTTCATAATACTTAAAGATTTTAATCAGAAACTTGCATAGCAAGGATACTAGTTATTCATGTGACTTTCATATGTCCTTGTGAAAAGTACAGTAAAAGTAAAGTACGATTTGTAGTAAAGTTTTATATGCATTGTTTTAACATTTACTTGTTAATTGGCAGACTATCCTAGCTCCCCAGTCTACCTTCTATAACAACTTAGGCCAGGAATGTGTCACCGCTGGGTGTTGTGTGGATCTCTTCCTATTCCCTAATTCATATATTGATATATCTACCATTGGTCAAGTCTGTCGCCTCAGTGGTGGACAAGTTCACAAGTACACTTATTTCCAGGTAAAGATTTTGTTCAACTTTTTTTTTTCTTTCAAACATGGTAGTGTTTATATGCTTGTCTTCTTAAATGATGTTTTATATACAAATTTTCAGTTACACATCTAACCAAGGATAACATTTTTTTGAGATGACATTTGATCCAAAAAAGTTACATTATTTTCTATACAGTATGATATTTATTGGAGGTTTAATGATATGATTATTGAAATAATATACTAATGTTATATTTGACAAATTTTAAAAGTAGCATGTTTGAGAAAAAAAAACTTGATTTTTTTTATGATAGTATTATTGAACTTATTTTAAAACATGAATTATTATTCATTTCTACATTCCTCATAGCTAGATAGGAAACATAATTTTGATTGTGTTAATACTTTTTGGGCTGTACATCTAAACTATATTTTACTCTCTTAAAACAAAAAGACCAAAATTCTTAGAAATTCTAGAATGTTATTTTTGAAATTACAGGCAGATGTTGATGGTAGAAGGTTTCTAGAAGATTTAAAACATTCCCTACAAAAGACTGTTGCATTTGATGCAATCATGAGAGTTAGAACAAGCACAGGTAAGATTGAATAACTGCTACACTGCAGGATTTTTAGAATTAATGTGTGTCTGATTGAGCTCTGTTATTAATGCTGAGTTTACCTTATTATCTAAATATTAAAAGTTGTGTCTCAGCACTACTATTATCATGTATTTAACTCTTAGTATGAGTGGGTGAAAATGCCCATGTCATGACATCTTTTACATTTGCCTTCAAAATTTAAACTACTTTATTATCAATATATATCAATAACCTTGGTATCAAAACACAGTTTATAAATCAAAGCTTAATAATGTAAAGTTTAATTTTGAAAGGAAATACTTAGATAAGTTCTTAGTCATCACTTGTCTGTATCACATGATACTTCTTTGTTGTAAATTGCCCATTTTATATTTTCCCACCTGTATATGACATCCTAACTTTACTTGGAATTTACACTCATACTAAACATATCCTTCAGCTAAGTTATTAATTTGTACTAACAAAGCATTTTTTTTTCTTTACAAAGATAAAAGCAATAAAGTGAAGGGGACATTCCATGCTCCATATAGAACATTTTGCTTTCAAAAATTGCCATAAATTCTCTTTGACATTTGCTACTGTATTATTTATAACTAACATAAAGTGACAATTTTAATTTACTGACAGCTAAGGGAGCTTCAAACCCTTATAATAAGCAAATTTGAACAATTTAGCATCATTTTTTTTATTTGACACTGTTGGAGCTCTGCTTGACCAGATATGGAAATTATCTAAACCATTTATAGCTTTTTAGGTTATAAAAAGTTTAATATATTAAGTATTCATTAGGAAATTTTATTTTATTTTATATTTGAATTTGAAAAAAACTACTACCACCCCAGTGGCACAAGTTGTAAGTCTGCAGATTTATAACACTAAAAACCATTATGTAGGGATGATGCAAGTGCCATCCCTACATTTACTTCCTTTATTAAAAAGTTTTTCATTGCTTATTTTCGTTAATGCAATATTTCAATAGATATAAGAAAGTTGTATTTATGACTGAGTTCTAAATACAATGAGTTTCCAACTGGAATATTTATTGTTTATCTATTATTGACTAGTAATTCCGGTTTCACCCTGTACTTAAGCTTTTTAAAGGAACAACAAATTTCTGTAAGAAAGCTAACTTCAAGGGGGTAATGATACTATCGTTTATACTATAATTATGGTTTTGTTTTTAATTACTATTAGTTATTAATAATACTTATAAAAGTGAATACTCCGATTGAAAATGTCACCTCATTGAAATTGGTTGACACCATTGTTTTGGTTTTTGAGTTATCAAGCAATAAAAAAGAAGTAGCTGAAAGAAGAACAAATTCTAACTTTTTGTTATGATATTTACAGACATTCCCAGATCTTGTGACTTAGTCATTACATAGATATTATTATAAAAGGAAACACTATATAGTATTGTAAAGTTCTGATGATCTGTTCAGGAGATATTTAAAATACCATTTCAATGAACAATCCAAGCCATCCCTGCATAGACAATGCTACTGCCTGCCTGATAAGAAACTATAAAAATCGTTATTTATATAAAAATTCATGCTTCCCAGTGGCACAATGGTATGTCTGCAGCCTTATAATGCTAGAAAATGGGTTTGGATACCTGTGGTGGGTAGAGCACGTGTAGTTTTGTGCTTAATTTCAAACAAACCAAACCAAAATAAAAATTTATTTCATATCCTTTAGAATTTTTTAAACTTTCAGGCATATCTTTAATGATGAATAAAATTGTTCTGTAGGTTTTAATAAGTAATTTTAAACAAAGATTAGGTGAAATATTTGATTATATTGACAGTACTTAAATTGTTTAATGAAGAAATAGAAAAGCTAAACTTTGCTGCTCTACAACTGGTTTTAGTGATTCAATTACAGGACATGGGTACTCAACTGCTGCTTATCTAAATACAGTTTTTAAAACAACAGTGCTGAACAGTTCTGGAAGTAGTCTCAAATGATATTAGTTGTTTTTTTTAAATAGGAGTATATGACCATGTAGGTGGGAAATACATACATAATTTTATGATGCAAGAACATAAGATTATAAGCAGATGACTGTTTACTTCCTGGAGCTGTACTAGTAATATATAATGCATTTCTTACTCTTAAAAATTAATTTTAAAACTGAATATGTGCTTGTGGATATACACTGGATATACAATGTGTGTGTTCTGTTATTATCATTTTTATTTATATATAGAAACAGTAAAATGTAGAAGTGTAAGAGTGATTCAGAGTATCATGATATCAGCAGAGTTGAACAAATTTGTTAGATGTTAAAAATTGTGTTCTTGGCCCCATACAGCCCCAAGTATCTCTTCTTCCATCATCAATCATGATCTCTCTTGTAGCTACAATTACAGAGGCTTAGGACATTACATAGAAGTGTCAACATGCCTTTACAGTCTATGTTGCTACTTCCAGTCATGTTCTGTCTGATAAGTATGTATCTTGATAATAGCCCTGCAGTGCAAGTTCTATTGCAAAAGGCTCTTTCGTAAAGTTGTCATTCAAATCACACCCTTCCTTTCAGAGTGCTTTTCCTAATCCAACTAGTGTACAAGGATAACTGTTTTTCAGCACCCGTTTCAACAGTCTGATTTCATAGAAATCAATAGATGCTACATCTAGTGTTTTGAACAGTATGTCTTTCTATGGAATAGCATTAATAACCATTCTCAATCTGCTAGAGATGTGCAACGATTGTTCATATATGTTGTGGAAGCAACTTGTATACAAGTGACTTGTGTTGCTTTTCCAGATTGAAATCCTTTTTGATTATATTGCATACTATTGTGTGACACGAGTGTGCAGCTTTTACCATTGACCTTCGTGTTCATGCATTCTCACCTAGCACAACTGGGATACAACTTGTTGCATGTCTCTTTGTGAATGGTACTGGGGGCCAAAGCTGATCCATATTCCTTTGTTTTCCATGCTGTTAAGTTTAAGGTATATCCCCATCTTGGAAACAGTAAATCATTGATATGAACACATATTATTTGTTTGAAAGTATGAATATTTTGTGTTGAAAATGGCAGTTACATCATATCCTTTCCAAAAGTGATAAATTTTTGATAGAATTATACTACTTACAAAACGCCAAAGAATATCAAAATGTAGTTCCCGACACATTCCACTCCTCCAGTACTTTTTAACAGCTGTAGTAGTTATCCCATGACTTGCTGATTTACATTATTTGCAATTGTATTAATATAATGTACTCAGCCCTCTGTACACAGTATTGTTTGACACTAGAGTTTTCATTGTAACAAGCTTCTACAAAGGACAGTGAGACTTTCAACTGTGGACTTAGAGATGTGAATTAATGCTAGACTTTCTTGGTATGTTGAGTATACAGTGCAGGAATTCAATCTCATAATTGTTGTAAATGTTTTCCTGGTAATTAATATAACTCTCATTTGCTTTGGTTTGCACTTTTCGAAGTATGAATTTTGCATTTTGTGATAAACCCATGGCAACCATAAAGACCAATAATAATAATAAAACTTTGAAAGTGGTGCAGAGAAAAATAAAGTCCTATCATATCATGACCAGTTCCAAACTGTTCATTTCTTATCAGTCATTCAAGTACACCCAGGCCTCATCCACTTTTCTTTAATGTGTCTCTCTCTCTCTCTCTCTCACTAATGAGTATGGAGCAGCTTGTGCAACTGTATTTTAAGCTTTATTTCAAGGGTAACAAAACCTTTATGAAACAGCTTTTATATGGTTAATTGGGATATTTGGAGCTTGTTAGCACTCACTTTTTGATTGAATGGGTGAAGTCGTGAATGATCATTCTGTGACCTTTGACAGTGGTAGAAGCAGTTTTTTGTTCAGTGGGTTACTGTTTAGATGGTTGTACATTCTTGTCTAGCTTATTCACTTTGAAATTGGTGTTCTCTGGGATTTTTACTGTTTTGCTTTATATATATCATTCCTTAATTAAATAAGGCTGTGACACACGTCATCAGCCGTAAGTCCTTGCACTGTTGGATGGTCCAGAAATTGATGTAAACCAAATATTTAGGTGGCTAGGTGCCACACGATTTTATTAGGATGTACATATTATTTTCTAAAGCAAGATTAATGCTCCATATATCATATTTAGAAAATTGTAATATTTTGGCACCTGACAACTTCAGTATGGTCTTGCAATAGTCGCGAGAGTCTTGCATTTGGAACATATGAAGCCACATGTAGACCAGCAAACTTTTATTTTCTGTTTCTTTTCAACTTGTAGGCTACTCTATTTTATCATGAGTTTGTTTTATGTAAAAAGACTTCTAGTGCTGAGAGTTGTTTATGTGAATATAATGAGATCGAGTTAATGATTAGGGCAAAAAAATGTTTATCAAAGGCTCCCTGATTTGCAGGTTACAAATTAATACAATCCACTGTTGTATTTCCACATGAATATAACAAGTCAAATGTCATTTTAGTTAACCTGAAGAAGGCCTCAGTATAGGCATTTTTCTTTATGTTGGAATGTAAATGTAGAAATTGAACAGTTCCAAATTATTGGAAAGGCTGAAAATGAGCAGTGGCTGAGATTAAAAGAAACATTAGCCATAAAGAACTTAGCACCTGAAATAAACATGAAATCCAGCATCGGTGAGCTGATGTTAAAAGTGTTATAAGAGAGAAAATATTCATATGTTTGAAATTACCTTGTGCTAGTTATTTAAATAACCTAAGTTACAATTTTTTAGCATATAATGTGTCCTTTTTATTATGACTATTGCTTACATTTTAAATTTTTGTCATTGAAAGTAGATTTGTTAGTTTTTTTTATTAGACTTTAATACACATTTTCTTAATGTTTAGGTATAAGGCCCACAGATTTTTATGGCCATTACTATATGTCCAATACAACTGATGTGGAACTGGCAGCAGTTGATGAAGATAAATCAATTAGTGTGGAAATTAAATATGATGATAAATTAACAGAGGAAGATGGAGCCTATATCCAAGTGGCAGTATTATTTACTAGTTGTGGGGGCCAACGTCGGCTACGAGTACATAACCTTGCTCTTGAAACCTGTAACCAGATGGCAGTCCTGTATAGAAACTGTGAACTTGACACCATCATGAATTACTTTTCTAAACTAGGTAGCTTAAATTTTTTCATTAAGAAAAGTTTTGAAAAAAAATATTTTCTTACAAACTAAGTTTTAAATGTTTTATTTCCACATGTATTTCAACCATAGACTTCAGTTTAGGCATTTTCTAGCAATATAAAACCTATATGTTTGTGTGTGTGCATAAATGGTGAAATCCAATAAAATCTTCACTCATTGTTTGAAAAATAAATACAAAACATTGTTACATAACAATGGCACTAAGATAAAACAACAAACAGAAATGCAAAAATTTGAAGTTTTACATTGTAATATAGTTGTATAGAAAGTAATTCTAATTTATCGGTGTCAAGTTAATCTGTAATGTTAATAATTGTTTCTTTTTTTTTATGTTAAGGTCTCAGAATGATAATAGAACAAACACCTAGGCAGATGAAAGACTATTTCATTAATAGAAGTGCTCAGATTTTGGCTTCATACAGGAAACATTGTGCTAGTCCCTCATCAGCTGGCCAGCTTATTTTACCAGAGTGTATGAAACTGCTACCATTGTACATCAACTGTTTAACTAAAAGTGATGCATTATCAGGAGGTAGTGTATTTTGTTTCATTAACTGTGTAACTAAAAGTGGTAATTTATCAGGAGATTAATGTCTTTAAAAAAGGTTTTGAGCATGTAATTTCCATTTTCTTACTGTACAAGGTTTAACAGTATTTTATTTCCATGCATATTTCAACTGGCTTAACTCGCCATCTTCCAGTGATATAAAACCCAATTGTATTCCTGTAGATGTTATAATCCACTAACATCTTGGCATAGAGATTTATATTTATAGTTCCAAAAATAAGTGAAAAAAAAAGTTGCTTCATAACTATAGCAATAAGAAAAATTGAAATAGTAAACACCAAACTTTTACATGATGAAACTATGTTTTTCTGTCTTGTAGATGTTTCTATTGAGGAAGTCTTGTTTGTGAGTAGAATATTGTGCCACATTCTTTTATGCATGATGACTTATTCAACAAAATTACTATTTTATACATATATTTACAATCTCCTAGGTTCACATATTGTGTTAGTTTATTATTTTCTTATTTTGCATATATACATATTGAAATCGCAGACCTCTTGTTAATTTTGCTGTATTTCATATAGCATGTTTCAGTTTCACAAACTTTTAGTTGTTGGTTTTGCAATTAATATCCTCTGTGATCCCCTAAGTCTTCATATTGATTAGTTTAGTTAATTTTTTTTTTCATAATTAGTATGTATTCTACATTTTGGCTTGATAGTCTGCTGCTATCTTCAGGAACATTTTGAGAAGTACTGTGTTTTGTGGTGACAGTGGTCATGAATTGATCCTGAGCCTCCTTAATGGAAAGGCTAGAGTGATATCCATTTCTGGAGAGCTTCTCTATTTGAGTTTGGGTCAGTTAACTATCTGAATGCCTTCAAGAGAGGTATTTAGGTTTTTCTGACTTGTATAGTTGGTTGAATGAATGTGTTTTTAGTTAGGTTGGTGTTTTATTCTTTCTCTCATGTGTGGCTCATATCCCATTTTGTGTTATGTGACTGAATTCTAACTTTTGTCAGCCATTTTGTTTTTCCATGGTATTGGAGTCCATATTCTCAAAGAATTATTGTAAGTGGTGTTTATGCTGTGTATTGGATCTTTAACTGACTTGGTTGACTGAATGTGTTTTATTCTTTCTCTCATGTGTGGCTCATATCCCATTTTGTGTTATGTGACTGAATTCGAAATTTTGTCAGCCGTTTTGTTTTTCCATGGTATTGGAGTCCATATTCTCAAAGAATTATTGTAAGTGGTGTTTATGCTGTGTATTGGATCTTTAACCTTTTCCATATGGTTATCCTTTTCTGCACATGTCACAACCTTTTTAGGGAAGTATTCAGAATTTAAACTACTTTGTTATCAATGTATATTAATAAACTTGGCATCAAAATGTAATTAGTAAATCAAATTTTAATATTGTAAAAGTTTTAAGTTTTTAATTTTGTGAGGAAATATTAAAGTTCTTAATCTGCCCTAGTATGAAAATTGTGACATTTGCTCTTTAAGTGTCCCCTCTTCTCTAATTTATTTATCACTCCTCTGAGAAGCATGGTATTTAAGGTAAATTGCTCAGGCAAATCATAATTTTTATAGTTTAATCTTATTTGTTTATGGAGCCATAAAGTAGAAAATGAGACCCACTTGCAGCACCCACCTGTTATGTCCTCTCTTTCACAAGCTATCAATAGTTCTTTGACATTTAATACAATATTATTTTTACCAGTAGAAAGCCAAAGTTTTAATTTATCAAATGATTTTATGTTACATTGTTTTTTTATACAAAGAATAGTCTATTTTGCTTCCAGTTCAAATTTTATTCCAACTGGAAACACATTGATGGGCTTAGCTGAATTTTTAATGGCTCTTATTGCATTGTTAGAAAGCCAGAAAAATTATGATAGTTATAGGACATTGTTTGCTTGCTACGTGCTATCATTGTTTTCTTAGGTGCAGTGTATAATTAATAAAAAAAAATTGATATAATAGTACCATTAGTATTAAAAAAAAAAAGGCTCAAGTTTCATCAACAGTTGACAACAAAAGGACCCAGGTAAGTACTATATTTCTTGCTTCAAATGTGTATTCTTTACTTATTATAAAAGTTACTAAAATGTAAAAATTAGAAATGTAAGGTTAGATTAAGTAAGATAGTGAAAGAAAAAAATTTAATTAACATAAATTACAGAATTGAGGAAAAAATAATGACAGCTGTATGTTTCACAAAAACTTCATTTATTCACCACCATAGTTTTGCCAGTAAAGGCATCATCAGGTACTATAGTCATCTTTGTTTTTTTTCTTCAACTCCATATGTAAGGAGTTTCACTAAGTACCAATGGTTTCAAGTATCAATAATATAATAAAAATTCTTTGAGGCATTCTTGCAAGCAGCTCATGCGTTACATAATTCAATACAGTAATGTGAGTTGTATGTTTGTCGAATGATTTACAACTTGTGTGGTGGGATTATTAGTTACACAGTGTAAATGTCAATAAAATTAAGCTTAAGTAGATGTATACTGTTATGAGCTTTAAACTATTAAAGATAAAGAATTGTGGATTCCTGTTACCATTTGCAATCTTTCTAGAAAGAAAAGAGGGTAATTTAGATTTCCTAATTTTTTTAGGATGGTTAAGAGGTTGGTCAAGTCAACCAACCTTATATAGGTGTAGAGAAAATAACAGATAAAATATAAAGTTTTACTGAAAAAACAAAAAACATTTGATATTTATTTATGAGATTTTAGAGATTATGCAAATGAAATTTGACAATATTCAGATGAAGAAAAGTATTTTTAATTTGAAGATGAAAATCACTTTGCACTCAAAGCAGTCAAAATACTAGCTTCGTATATTCACAGACAAATTTCTAAAAAAATTCTTAATTAAAATTTCTGATTTTTTTTATGTACAAAAGACTTGCAATGTTTACTGATAGTCTATGAAATTTAGTAAAGATATGCATATGTTATCAAAAGTTATAGAATGACTAATTTCATGGTTACTTTGGTGGTTAAGAATGAGGTGCAATGCACCTATACCTTATGAAAAGAGTTAGTGGTTTGGTTTGTATTAAACATGATTGTCTTGTGTAATTTTATTTTGTTGTGTTTTACATATCTTCTGTGTGTTTTCTGATAGATCAGTTTTACTCATGGTACAAATAGAGATTTATCTGTTGAAACCTTTTATTTGTTTTAGCATTAGGTTTGGCCATCTTGCCTCATGTTAGTTCAACGTTCACATGCACTTTTTGATTTGTTTTTCCTTTGTCACCTAGCAATAACTGGTAGTGGTGAAAAATTGTTTTATACTGCTTGTCATACTTCAAACATACTTTTTCATAATTTAAATATTTTTAGTTTGGACATTTTCTGTAAGTTTTATCTCTACATCATGTTTTCTTTCAGGGCCTGATATGTCTACAGATGATCGTAGTTTTGCAATGCTGGCTGTAGCCACTATGGATATCGCTTGCAGTACAGGTTATTTGTATCCTCGTCTATTACCACTTGTAAGTGTTTTGTTTTTCTTGCAGCCTTAATTTTTTGTTATTTCTGAATTACAAATTTGACATACTGTTCTTCCTAGCTTAAAGACATTTTCATCTCAAATGTGGCATAGTTTCATTGTAGGTTTTATATATAAGGAAATAATACTGACTGATTATGATTATAAAATCTGGGTTTAATTTATTTTAACTTGAAAAGGAAAAATGTAATTAGATTAGTGTTATTTAACTGTATTTTTAAAATTGTCTTGTGTCTAGGAAGTAAACTGGGATTCTTATTAGTTCTATCACATCTAAACTAAACATTTGAAAGCATATGACAAGAAATGTAAAAAGTACTTTTATTCTTTAACAAAGTTGTTTTACTTATTGTTATTAATGGCAATAATTCAGTAGAAAAAGTAATCTAATTGTAAAAGGTATGTAATACTACAACTTTGCTCTATTAGCCTTGAAGTTTAAGCTTGACTACTAGTAGCAGTGGTGGGGTTGTAGAATATTAATCTTATTACAAAAATGAAGCATAAAGTTATATTCATCAAACACTTCACTTTAACTTTCTCAACTACATGTTTAAGTGGAAGGAATGCATAATAGCAATTAAATAGTACATAAGATATTGTCATATTTATAGTAACTTTTCATCAGACTTGTTTACTTTTAGGATAGGTCATGCTTTTCCAATATATAGAGTGGCACATTAAATTGTTGAAAAATGTGTATTGGCAGTTTTTACCAAATGAACGTGGGTGTCTGATTTTATTCAACTTCATAGTCAACTGCATATTTTCATAGCCATAATTATTTTTTTACTTTGTTTTTCATTTTAACATAATTACCAATGCACATTTCTATTTTCGGTATCAGTTTTATGGCTCTTGGTCCAGTAGTATAACAATTGAAAAGCATATGAACATTTTGAATACACTTTCTTTGATACTAATGAAAATAATGATGGAATAGAATAATAAGTATTCAAACATGGGTGTCAGAATATTAAGCTGGCTTTGCTTGTTTCTTTATTGATTTATTGGATATCCTTACTAATTCATTGTACATGTTTGTAAATTTGTTTTTTCACAAAGTTCTCCCATAAATTTGGAGCTAGCAGGACCAAATTGGACTTATGATAGCCTGGGGGGATATCCTTATCTATATGGTGTAGCACCATATTCTGACATCATATTTTCTATTCCTGACCCCCTTCTGGATCCTCTGGATGCCATTTATGAAACTGGGTTCATACCTACTCACATGATAAAAGGACCAAACTTGGCACATGCTCAGGTGCCATGGGTGCTGCTGCCCTAATGTTTTCTTATTATTAACTGTGGAACCTCCTGGTATGGAGGGTCTAGAAGTATTTGGAGATAATTGATTGGGAAATTAGCACTTCTGTAAATCAGGAGTGGAGCCTATGAACCCCACAGCATAGCAGGTTGCTTTAAAGATAATAAAATTTATATGCTAGATAAATATATAGGTAAAATATTGTTTTTTAAGTTGAATGTTTTGGATGGAATTCTTAATTTCTAGATATGAGTGTAGGGTGATAAAAAAAAATAAAAAAATGTACTTCTTTTGTTTATCTTAAGCATGATGTTGATCCAGACTCCACAGAGTTTCCTAAAGCTGTCAGGTGCTCTGTAGAAAAAATCAAAGATAATGGTGTTTATCTACTTGGTGAGTAAATCATTTACAATGGACAAAGATTTTCTGTATATTATTTTTTGTTTTCATTTAGCCCATAATTTTTAAGTCTTGCACAAGAATGAAAAATGCTACAAATGTCATCAGTTTCTGAAAAATTCAAAATTAATATTGAAATTATTCTAAAATGGCACAACATGCTCTTGAAAAGGTAGATATGTAAAGAAAAAACTTGACTGCTTAGCCTGGTTTACAAGAATGTAATGAATCCAGTTTGTTAAGTGGGAGTGTGAAAGCAAGTTTTCTTGTGGTTGATATAGTGGATTTGATTATTCTATTTCATTATCAAATTTTAAAATGATTTGATTGTAGTATGAAAGCAAGTTCTCTACTTGTATAGCTTGTTCTGTTTCTATTTATAAAAGATGACAAATTTTTATCTGCCTGACTTACTTTATTTATCTGTATCCCCTTTCTACCTACCTAGATACAATCACTCAGATATAACTACAACAATTATAGTCTTCCCTGATAATTTTGCAATATTTTTTAGCGTGAAAGGTTTAAAAAACATTTTTGTATGGTTTGGTTGCTCATGTGGTTTTAAACGACCGTGTTGTAGGTTTAGTTCTCCTGTGACATGGGTATAATATTCTTGCTTGATGTGATATGTCACTCATTTCTACACTATTAATGTATTTCTCACATTTGGTGATCTGCACTTAAAATATTTAGTTTATAGTGCATCTTTGTAACAAATCTGATTAAGCAAATTTATGAAGAAGCATAACATGCTTTAAATGATAGATTTTTTTTACATTTGAAGAAACACTTAAGTTTGTACATTTTCATAATATCAGATATTTTATAGAATTTTTTTGCAGATATTTAATAGCTAAGTTTTAAACACTATGTAGCTTTTTGGACAAAATTTTAATTCTTTAAAACCAATTTTTACCAAAGAACAAGAGTTTTGACCTAGGAAATTGGCATTGGTTATTACTGCTTGTTTGTATGTATTGGCTGTACATGCATTGCATTTGAAATGTGATTTTCATACTGCACATGTTTAATATAATTGATCTTACAATATTGCTGCTTTTCTAGAAAATGGTGTGCACATGTTCTTGTGGATAGGAATGGCAGTAAACCCAGATTGGCTGCAGAATGTCTTTGGTGTCCAGACAGCAGCTAGAGTGGATATTGACAAGGTAAACGTTTTCTTGGTTCCATCTTTTACAAAGTATCAACTGTGTTTAGAATTTTTTTTAAGTATTTGATACAGATCCACATTTATATCCACAAAAAAACAACAAGAAACTGGACATCTTTAACCCCATATTTTTTAATTTATATTTTTTGTCTTTATTGAGCTCTGGATGGACTTGTATATTTTGGACATTATTTGTGCTGTTTTATAGTCCGTTGTGTTTTCATGCTGTAATTAACTCATCTTTCAAGAATTCACAGGATACTTATCATATTCATGAAGTCTGCTAACTTTTGAAGATTTAATTTTTTTGACTGTTGATCTGAATTTTCAGACATCCTTGCTGGAATTGAACACTCCTCTTTCTCTTCGCATCCGTGATATTGTTGAAACTGTAAGAGAAGAAAGACAGAAATGCATGAGGGTATGTAACCCAATGTATTAACTATTTTTTTTTTTCATGTTGAAATTTAAATTGCAGTCATTTTATATAGATAGATAAAAATGTAGTTTAAATAACTATATAATAAAGAAACTAATTTCAGGCAATTGCATTGTATTTAGATTGCATGTCAACATTGACAGCACAAGTTTCATATTGTTGATGACTAGGAGGAATGTGTTCTTTCAACACAAGAAAATTATGATACTTTTAAAAAATACTATCATGTAAAGTTTGTTCAAGTCACATCTTTCAATGAAATAGAGTTGTAAAAAGTTTTCATTAATTATATTTTAATAATTACTTGGCAAAAGATAAAAAAAAAAATTTCTTTTATAATCATGATTTTTTTTGATTGAACATTGGTTTTGTTTTTATCAACAGCTTATGTAGTTTTTCTATTGGATATACTACACTGTAAAAACCTTGCATATGTGTACACTTAAATATCACTTGTCTTTTTTTTTTCAACTTTTTACTAGCTGACAATTGTTCGTCAAGGGGACAAATTGGAGTTAGTATTTCGTCAGTACCTAGTTGAAGACCGTGGAAGTGATGGAAGTGCCTCTTACGTTGACTTCTTATGCCACTTACACAAGGAAATTCGAAGTTTGTTGTCATGAAGAGAACTTAAATAGAAGACTGTTGTTTGTAGTCTCATTGTAAATTGAATGATTTCTTTGTTGATAAATATAAATCTTCTCATAACTGACTGACATACATCTGATAATAGAAATGATGGTGAAAAAGTTTAGTTAAGAAAATCTGGTTACCTCCAGTCCACTCCACCTCCCCACCCCCACTTTTATTTGGGATTGCTGGTAATTGGGAATTTGTTTTAATTCAGCTGTTGTCCTTCTTTTGTAACGTATATGCTTATTATGTGCATCAAATATACTTGATAGATTAAGTCTACATTAGACAAAGATTTTAGAAATATATATAAAAGTCAGGTTTTGGGTTTCTGAAACAGACATTTCTAGCTTATACACACATGATTATAAAATTCATGTGTAAAGCTGAGATTGACTTTGGGATTTAGGGTTAATGCCATGATGCTCTTCTTACTTTTCTGAAGCAGAATCCTTTTAATAAGGTTAAAAGTTCATATGAAATGTATCCGAAATCTTAAATACATATTTAATTTGAAATTTTAAAGATTGCCAAATCCTGATGGAAACTTTGTGAAAAGATTATACATTAATTTGTTTGACTGTTGAGTAGTCAAATTTGCATCATACATAAAAAAATAAAAAAAAAAATAAAAAAAAATAATATTGAAGTATGTTCTAGCGAAATGCATCAGATTGCAAAAAAACAAATAAGTTGAACTGCTGTGTGGGCTGTATTTAAAACCATGAGAAAATATTTTGTGCTCAAAGAAAAAACTTGTGTCATTCTTAACTATTTTTAAAACTAGTTATTTAGCTACATGACTGACTTAGAGTAATGCTGAGTACAACATACCTGTTGCATTGGTCCTTAATAAGCCATCTATGAAAATGTTATATGATATAAACTACTGAAACCTACTATGTTAATGTTTTTAATACAATTTGATAAAGTTTCAGAGAAAAGGGGTATACTGCTCCAAGAAGTTATTAGATCTGTATTCATATACACAAACACATCTTGTGATCTGATAATGTAAGACACTTTGAATAGAACACTTTTTTTTTGCTCTATTAATTTGTTTTTGGTTTTATTTTTTTCTAATCTATTGAACTTTGATCTTACCAGATAGCTTCTGTTGAAATATTAAATACAAAAACCACTGTTAGAAAAAGCATTTGGTTCCTAATTACCTTTGTTCAAAGCTGTTCTGAACAAACTATGGAATTGATTAAATAGCAGCAGTGCAGAAGATTGTAGTGTTTTCTTGCAACAGTTCTTACATGTTTATGGTAATAAATTTCCAATATATTATAACTCTGTGTCAGCAGTACTTTAATACACACAAACACACAGATTTTCTAAACTTGAGCTTCCATAGTTATTGAACCATGAACTTGTTTGTTTAGTGATTTTTTTTACTTATTTGAGTCACTACCTTGCATTTTGTAATATTGCTGATGAAATAACAAAGACCAATATTTCATGTATTAAAAACGTTTTATTTATATTGGTGCATCAAGTCAAAAGCTCAGATTTTGTTTCCTTTAATTTACTGCCTGGTGTTTACAGAAATGTTTCTATAAAGTTGAATGAAGCTGACCCTTGTGATGCATCTATATTTTACTTAAAGGTATTCAAACCTATATATCAGTTGTGTTTGCACTTTACCTGAGCTTGATTTATTAATTAAGACATTTGTTTTTCTGTACATCATGAGAAAAAGTGCAGAAGTAACAAAGTATAACATGCTTCAACACAAGATTGTTTTCACACTTTGTGTAGACTATAACTAACCATTTTGAGATTTATTTTAACACTTCCCACATGAATTTGGTAATATAACTTGATGCAGGTGAAATATGTGTTAGGTTTCTTTTTTTTTTTATTTTATCCAAGCTATAAATCAAAATAGATAGTTTTTCTTATTGACAGTATGGCAATTGGTATTCATAAAATTAAAGATATGATATAATTTTATCATCATAACTCATATTTACTCCAAATTATTTGACTATTTTCTAACAAAAATCAGCTTTAGATGTGTGCTATTCCTATTAAGAACTTTTTTGTTAAAATAAATACTAATTTGTTTTATTTCAAAGTAGGTAAGAAAAATAAATAGGGGCCATAATTTAAGGTAATTTAAAATTTTTACATAAAATCTTAAACGATAAATTTTGTAAAGTTTTTTTGTTTATAAAACAAACATTCTAATTTGGTAAATGATTTACCTTTTGATTGATTTTTTCAGATTTGCACAATCTTGTACTTTTGTGTGAAATTGGGTTTATAAGTGCATTTTGTGTAAGTAGTACATTTTGATGCTTAATTTCAACCAATAAGGATAATGCACCCAGTACTAATGGACCACAAGAGTCTTCTAACTAAGCAGGAAACCAAACAAAACTAATAAGTTAGTTTTTAGGATTTGTAAGATGTTTCTCTTCTGCACACCACCTAGGCTAGATTCTAAATTTTATTGTGATGAAACACCTAAGCATTTCTTATGTAGTGATAAAGTTGTTTGAAGAGTCGTGGTGTTAACCTCTTAATCAGTAGTAAATGCTTGAACTTGTATTTAAGACCTTTACGATATCCCAAGGTATACCTGGCCCAACAGATAGTTAATTTAAGTATTGTAGTAATGAGCGGGATGATCAAGGTAGTTAAGTGAAACTTAATAATAAAAATTATTAAATAGAATAAGAAACAACAAAAATAAGTTATTAACGAATTGTGGTGTTACAAATGTAGGTATTATTGTCACTACATTGTGGCTTTCATACATCAGACAGTAACTTTTACATGAACTTCTGGTTTCTCTATTTACTTTATCTGAAACCTGTAACAAAAGAAAGGTAATTTTAATGCACGTAGAAAATATTTAAATTTTAAGTGTCAAAAATAACTTGGTACTTCTTGCCATTACCTTCATCTGACTAATAGGTACGGAGTTAACTGACAGTAAACAACATTCCTGCCCACTCACATGAACAGTTTGGAACGAAGCATTTCCAAAACTGACTTCGATGTGAATACACAGATCAAAAAGATGTTTGAATACTGACTTTCAACCAAGATTAAGAAGTTCCTGAGGCCATGCTTAATACAGAGCACATTTAAATTTACATTTAAGTGTAACCACGTGCAGAATACATGCACAAATCTTTGAAAAACGTATATACATGCTTTATAGAGCTTTCTTCTTGTTGTTTTTTAACAAGTGGCGATGTTCTATGGAGAATATTGCACAATTATTACTAGATTTTTTTCAGTACACCTGAAGGCTATACAACTTCTACAAATGCAGTTAGGAAATTTTGTCTGAATATGTATTGATATATACTGTAGTATATATTTATGCTTAGTCCCTTACTGAGGGTCACCCTGCCTTTATATACAAAAGCACTGAAATTAAAAAAATCCAGACTTGTGCACTGCACTACATTCTGCAAGTACCTTTTGTGTTCAAGGCAAATTGTGTGCAATCAGTGTGGCAACCCCCCCCCCCCCCCAGTTTGTTAACTGATTCACTAACAAGAAAAATAATAGTCTGTCTTATAACGTGACAAAAATGGGTGAATATATGTATTGTGCACTTTTTTTATTATTCATGTAACAACACCTCACCAACGGAAAGTTGTTGTTGCAGTTACTTGTAGCAGGTTGGTTTTTACGGGGTGGAGTTGCTAGCCCCGCGCCCAACCCTCCTCCTTTCTCATCCAGGCAAAGGCGGAGGTTGGCATGTTGGGATTCGAACCCGCGACCCTCAGATTACGAGACGAGCGCTCTAACCACCTAGCCATGCCGGGCCTTGTTGTGCACATTAGAGGAAAGGAAATTTAGGTAACTTACAATAAAAAAACACAACAATTACAAAAATACGTATTAACTAAGGTGGGAACTAATGCATAGTGCAGGCCCATACTACAGTGATAAATTGACTCTTATATCCATGGAACAAACTCTTTATAAACGCACAGCATTGAACTGGTTTACTAACTCGATCACTCTTGTGTTGTTCCTTTGAATATTTTACTAATGTCCTCCAAATCTCCCGAAAATTCGGAATGTCACATCAAACCTAGATAATAGGGAAATTTCTAGTCATTATATCATGCCAAAACTCCCTATAACAACAATACAACATGTAAATTAAAATATTAAAACATAGCCTACAACAGTGAGATTTTGAAACAATAAAATTTTGTCAACATGAAAATGAAGATAATTCGTTGAAAGCTTACAATGAATACAAATTAGCCATGTTAGGTGAATAACCAGCACCCATGAATTGTTTCAAAAGCTTACCCATGGAAAGAACAAAGTTATTAAATACCTCAAATCAGTGATTTTAAACTAGTGGTACAGAGAAAGATTATAAAAAACAAGGTTGACTTAATAATATTGTTACGTGCAATATCACTGGACGAGTTCTTTTAAATTATTTGGAAAATTATTAGAGATCCAGTCTACGTGACAATAACTAATTAATTGACTTCTTCAATAATACAGCCATGTTAACTTGTAGACATAATGTCATAAATATACTTTTGAACATAAACTCGAAAACTACTGTAAGTTTAATACACTTATAACATTTAACAAATATGGCTAACTTGCTGATTAGCTGACAGAAGCACCAATTCTCAGTAACTCGATGAAATTATTAATCAATCTTTCCTCAACCAACAACTGCTCAATTATTAACTACTCTATCATTGATTCTTGTATTAAATCTAAACTTTATTTTCTTCTAAGTACGGGAAGTTTCTATATTTAAGACTACTTTTACGAACTTTGTAAATCTAGCATCATCATCATGATTTGTGGCTTCTTCTTACAAACAAATGAATTATAACATTGAAAAAATAGCTTATAACACTAGCTCGTTTCTGGATTGTGATGCCTTGTGAACAGTAATAATACAAAAACTCAAATAATAATAGTGCACTAAATTGTTCATTCACTAAGTCTTTTTGGTGGTTTTCTTTTTAGAGGGTTAAGCTATGCAGATGGGGTGGCTTCTTGTCCTTTAATGTTGCTTGGTGTTTTGTCACTAGGGAAGCTCTCCATGAATAGGCAGTTAGGTGAATCCACTGGTGGGTCCATTCTTGATGTTCCTCGGGAAGTGGTCTTCACAGGAACACTCTGGTCTCTTCTGTGGGTTGACTTTCTGCAGGCAAATTTTCTGAAGTTACCCAGCTCACCACTCTCTTACGTGATGAAATTCCAAAGATAATCATAACTGATTAGCTTTGGCTTGGAACACATTATTGGTCTTTCCAGTATAACCTATGACCCTTCCAAACATATTCTTATCTTTGGATCTCATCCTTTCATTTGGTGATGATTGTATAGCCTAACTATGTAAGATCACTGAAATCGTTAATGTTTTTCTTCCCTTCGTCACTTTTGTAATTACAGATTAGTGCTATGTCTTTTCATTTTGTACTTCTTTCCATTGTTTTAACATCTCTAGCAAGTTTCTTATCTCACTTTGTACTTGTGTGATCATCTTGAAAGTTGAAGTTTAATCAAAATTCAATTTTATTTAACCATAATAATTCCATTTCTGATACCAGTGTTATGGCATGTTCTATCATTAGGCGTATTCTTTTGGATTATTTGGTAAAATCAATGAACGATCCAGTTTGTGTTATGATAACTTCTTAATTATGTTACGCCTCTGTGTTCGTTTGTTAATTTTCCGTAAAAATTCTTTCCGAAGAAACTTTAGCGATACAAGTCCTTTCTTAAATAAAACTAGTTTATTCTTTCTTAATACAACTTTGCAATACACTTAATTTCCAGGCCCGGCATGGCCAGGTGGTTACGGCGCTCGACTCGCAATCTGAGGGTCGCGGGTTCGAATCCCTGTTACACCAAACATGCTCGCCCTTTCAGCCGTGGGGGCGTTATAATGTGACGGTCAATCCCACTATTCGTTGGTAAAAGAGTAGCCCAAGAGTTGGCGGTGGGTGATGATGACTAGCTGCCTTCCCTCTAATCTTACACTGCTAAATTAGGGACGGCTAGCCTAAAGGATAGCCCTCGTGTAGCTTTGCGCGAAATTCAAAACAAACAAACTTAATTTCCATAGACACGCTATAACTTAAACAAACGCTATAATTCACAACGAACGATTCACGCACTTGACTCAACTCTCCGTCTCTATCTCTGTCTGCAATTCAATTCCATTGTTGCCGTCACTTCTTGGCGGTCTTATATACAAGAATACCACACGTCTGATAAACACTCGAGCATTCAAGAGCCTTCGAGAATATCATGACGTGTTACTAGCGTCACGTGAC